GCTTCGCTTTGCTGCTGCTGCTCCCCTTGCTGCTGCTGCTGCTGTTGCTGCTGCTGCTGCTGCTGCTGCTGCAGCTGCTGCTGCAGCGCAGCAAAGCCAGCGATGCAGCGGCTAACTACGGCGTTTGCTAGCCCCTCGAAATCCTTAACAAGGAAATGTTGCAGTGTCTGCGCAGCTTGCTGCAGCTGCCGCTGCTGCTGCTGCTGCTGCTGCTGTTGCTGCTGCTGCTGCTGTTCCTGCTGCCAAGCAGCAAACGGACTGATGTCGGCCTGCTGCAGCAGCAGCTGAAGGTTCTGCTGCTGCTGCTCCTGCTGCAGTGCAGCAGCAATACCATGCAGCAGCGACTCAATCGCAAGTAATGAGCCGTATGTCTCTGCTGCTGCTGCTGCTGCTGCACGCAGCAGTTGCTTCAGCTGCTGCTGCTGCTGCTGCTGCTGCAACTGCTGCTGCTTCTGCTGCTGCTGCTGGGTCTCAGCATGATGCGCCGGCTCCGTGCATTCTCTTGCAGTTAGCTGAGCAGTTGTCTGTTGTATTGGCGCTGCAGCATCTGCTGCTGCTGTTGCTGCTGCTGCCGTTGCTGCTGTTGCTGCTGCTGCTGCTGCTGTCTGTGGCAGCAGCAGCAAAGTGCTGCTGCCTTCTGCTGCTTCGCATGAGCAAACGCCCAGAGCCCTCACTAACTTTAATGAGGAGACAAATAGCCAGGGCCCCCCGTTACCTTCTCTACCTGCTGCTGCTGCTACTGCTGCTGCTGNAATGAGGAGACAAATAGCCAGGGCCCCCCGTTACCTTCTCTACCTGCTGCTGCTGCTACTGCTGCTGCTGAGGGTGCTGCTGCTGCTGCTGCTGCTGAGGGTGCTGCTGCTGCTGCTGCTGCAGTTGGAGCGGGGTCCGGCGTTGCAGCTGTACAAGGCAAGACACCGGAGAATTCAGGTGTATCTGCAGCTGCAGCAGAAACAGCAGCAGCAGCAGCTGCTGCTGCTGCTGCGACTGCTTTGGCTGTTTCGGGGTCTTCCTCGCTGCTGCTGCACCTTGCTGGCAGCAGCAGCAGCAAAGCCTCTATTTGCTGCTGCAGCTCCTGCGACAGACGAGCTATATCACGGTACAGCTTCGTGTAGCAGCAGATGGAGTGAGAGCAACTGCTGCTGCTGCTGCTGCTGCTGTTGCTGCTGCTGTTGCTGCTGCTGCTGCTGCTTCTTGCCTCCGACTTGAGGGCTTTCCATGCCTTAGAAAGACCCACTGCTGCTGCAGTGCATCGGTCCCATTGCTGCGAGTCTGCGGCTGCTGCTGCTGCTGCTGCTGCTCCTCCTGCTGCAGCAGAAGCAGCAGCAGCAGCAGCTGCTGTTGCTGCTGCTCTCGCTTCGCTCTGTGCAGCATCTGCTGCTGGCCTCTTCGCAAAAGCTGTGTGGATAAAG